GAGACCGGCAACGGGATCGTAACCCTTGGTGTTGCTCCCACGCCTCACTCAGCCAGTGAGCGGCTGGTCTGTATGGGGGACCCGACCCCTGGGGGGGGGCGCCGCCGCGCTCCCAAGCAGCGCACTGTAGCAGTGCGCCACCGGGCCGGCCCTTAAAAATATTATTGACTAAGATGGCTTCTAGGGTCCAATTCAAAGTGCAGCAGAAGCGCTCAGTCTTAGTCAAGACTGATGTCACCAATCCTGTCAGTATCTGGAAGGAGGAAGTCATTTAGCCACAGGAGTTTAGCATTATATTTTCTAACACTGAGATTGAAGGCTGACCTTTGAAGCTCATCTTCTTCAGTTTTCAGCTGTTCCAATTCTTTGAAAAGAAGAAAAAAAAAAAAAAAACAGAATGGATACATTAGAATGTTGTCACAAAAATCATGTTTTATTAAAAATTCTATCTGACTTATTCTCACCTAAATATATAAACAAACTCAGAACATTTCCCATTTATCTCCTTAACTAATTCAATTACCTTTCTCTGCCGCTTTCAATTCAGAATCCCATTGTTTCATAAAATTGTCTTTCTCTTCATCCTCTAAATTCTTAGTTTCTAAAATAAACAATATGCAGTAGAATAAGTCAGTCAAAAATAATTTATTAAACAACCAGAGATGAAAAGAATAGATGATCCCAAAATGAAGTGCTGGGAATATTTCACAAACATCCACCTTTTATAATTTTGTACAAAGATTTCTAGTAGCAGACAAGTGAACTTTGACCTATACAACAGTGATCTCCACTAGCATCTTTTAAGGAGCCACTTTGAGATAGACACTGTTTATATATATAATTTGCATATATGGAATAGTTACTGTTAGGCAACCACCCATAGGCTAAGTAGGAAGACACACACAAAAAATATATGCACACACATTTAGAATTTTAATTTGTTTTTGAAACTTAGGAGTCATCTTTAAAACCCTACTTTCCCCACATCCAAACCAAGTTTATCCAAGTTTAGATTTTACCTCAAAAACATCTCTTAAATCTACTTTTTTTCTTTTTTTTTTT